ACTCGACGGCACATAACAACAACATATATATATTCACCAAAAAAAAAAAAAAAACCTCACTGTCATTGAGTCAATTCCTACTTATAGTGACCCCCTTTGGTTTTCCGAGGCAGTAAATCTTTATGGAAGTAGATTGCCCAGCCTTCCTTCTGTGGAGTGGTTGGTGGGTTTGAACTACCAACTTTCTGGTTAGCAGTCTTAGATACTATGTCACCAGAGCTCTCTCTTTCTCTCTCTATATATGTATGCATATATGTATGTATATACACAAAACTACAAACCAAACTCACTGCAATCAAGTTGATTCCAACTCATAGAGACCCCCATTGGGTTTCTAAGGCTGTACTCTTTACAGAAATAGATTGCCCCATCTTCCTTCCATGGAGCAGCTGGTGGGTTTGAACCACTGACCTTCTGGTTAGCAGACAAATAACTTATCCATTATACCACCAGAGGTCCTTCTAATAGGGAAACAACATAGACCAAGTATTTTTCCTCCTGGAGCTCAGAGTTTAAGACAGGTATTCTTAACATTTGTGTGTGTGTGTGTTTCATGGATCCCTTTGGTGATCTGGTGAAGCAAATGGACCTTTCCCCTAAGGGAACAAAAAATGTAGTTTCTTTGCTATATCCCTATCACCCAATTCATTACCTGGCACATAATAGGTGCTCAATAAATGTTTGCTGAATGAATAATAAGATTCCTCTCCAACCATCCTCTATATCCCCTATTGGGAGAGCCATTTTTGATCCTTTTGGTCACCTAAGAAAGGACATTCCTGAATATGGTTCTGTCCCTGCCAATCTGATTCTGCTCACAGATGTTGATGGCAATTTAAAGGAGATCCTGGGAATTTCACATGTGACAATAGGGCCCTCTGCTGCAGAGGAGTAGGGTGAGCTTGGAAGGATACCAAGATAAGTAGCTTCAGCATGGGAACAGGGCTGACTCCACATCCTCCTCCTAGTTTCTGTTTATGGTTCCAGAAAATAGGGGTCCCTCTTCTCTGGTGTTCAGTGAAGACTATATTTTGAAGTTGGATGTGGCCTTAAAGACCTCCTACTACAGCTCTCCCTTTTGCAGACCCAGGCTGGATAGCTCCTGAAAACTCCATACAGTGAGGAGTGAGGGCACAGGGAAAATGATATTATGCTAGGCAAAGAACATCCTTTTCTCCCACACCTCATCCTAGGACATGAGCACCCTGACTACCTAGACTAGAATCCCATAACTGGCTCCTAAGAGTGTTCCTGAGGATCAGAGGCTATCTCTGACAGGGTGGATGAAGAGGAGTCTCATGTCAGGATGAGGGACTGAGGATTTGATTGAGGGGACAAATAAGAATCATGGAATAGCAGATGAAGACCAGGCTTCAGAGCCTTGCTTCAAGGCTAGAATCCATCTCATAGTCTTAGCCAATTGCTTCTCCTGAGCTGATCCTCCAGCACGATTAGCCTAAATTTACAGATGGTAAAATAGAGGGCCCCTAAAGAAGGCAAGGGAGTTCCATCGTGACACAGGCAGAGTGAGGCAAGAATACCCAGGCCAGCTTTCTCTCAGATTGGCTGGTATCTTCTTGCCAAGCTGCCCTCTTCCTGGTCTATTCCAGGGCCTTTCCCCTTGCTCTTCCCCCCTCCCCTCCACTTCAGCACATGCTCCTTGGGAATGACTCCAGATACTGCTATCTCTTCCCTCTAAGCAAGATGCCTTAACTTAGGATCTGGCACCCTGAGCTCTGGCCTCGAGGTATTGCATTACCTTGTGTAAGATGCACCCCTTTCTGGGCCTCAGTTATCTCTACTCACCTCTGATAGTGTGATTCAAGGCCAGAACTAGAAGCATCAAAACATTTATCAGAATCATGGAAAGTCATGTCCAAGCACTGGCATTACAACCATTTTACAGAGGAAACTCAGAGAAGGGAAGGACCTTGCCAAACTTCTCTGTATTACTCTCCTCCCATATCTGAATCCTACAGATTCCAACCTCTTAAAAGATTTCATAGAATAAACAGATTTCTCATGCAGAAGAATTCCAATTAATTTACTTAATTACTCCCTACCAAGACGGTGGAGGGCAACTCCCCAGTCCCTAAGCATGCATGGTGCTTCATGACTTCCTTTCAAATATTACAGAATGGAAAAGGGTAAAAAGGAGTAACTTCACAGTGGAGAAACCTGACAAACACTACCTCAGCCAAGTGATCAAGGTTAACATCAACAGTGATAAATCGTATTTATAGTATATACCCTTGATATGATGTGCTGAGAATGGCACTTACTCTCTGTGGTCTTCCTCCAAAACCAACCAACCCATAACTCCAGTCTAATCATAAGAAAAACACCAGACAAATCCCAATTGAGGGACATCTATAAAATACCTCACCAGTACTCCACAAAACATTGATGACTATAGGCCATGAAAAACAATGAAAGTCTTGAGAAACTGTCATAGCCAAGATGAGCCTAAGGAGACATGGTGGTTCAATCTAAGTAATATCCTGGGATGGGATCCTGAACAGAAAGAATTAGGTAAAAACTAAGGAAATCTGAGTAAAGCATGGACTTTAGTTGCTGATAGTGTATCAAAACTGGTTCATAATCATGACAAATGTACCAAAGTAATATAAGATGCTAATAATGGGACAAACTTGGTGTGGGGTACAGGGGAACTCTGTACTAGCTTCACAGTAATTCTGTAAATCTAAAACTGTCCTAAAATAGTTTAAAAACCCAAAAAACAACACTACTCTCATATGCCTTCTCAACATGCCCCTCTCCTGATGTATACACCTTCCTTACTGCTCTCTTTCCCTCCAATCTATTCTTCTGACAGTCATCAGAGGGCATTCTCTAAACGCTTAAACAAAGCTGACCATATGTGAAGCCTTCCCGCAAAATAAGGGCATTGGACCGAAAGTTAAGGAGGTATATTATAGATGATTAAATGTATCTGTTGATTCAGAAAGAATCTGGGAGATATTTCTGATGTCCATTGAAAAAACATTACAATATCCAAAAATTAAAACAATTCAGCTTTCCCAAGGTCTTCAAGATAAAGCCTGCCTTTTAGATGCTCAATTCCCATCAAGAGCTACATAGTAATTTCCTTTGCTTTTCCCTTATCTCTATGCCTTTGTGCACACAAGCTTCTTGTCCTGAGCTATCTTTTCTTGCCTTCTCTCCCAAGCCAATATCCAGGAACCCTGCATCCTCTCCAGAAGACTGGGGAGCACTTCGGCATGACTGCTGGGATATCTGGACCAGTATAATTTTTTTCTATTACATGCAAGAAAGAAAAATGGATTCTTCTGCACACTGCCCCCAACACACACACAGCCTACACTTGGCCTGAGGAAAGATTTGATGCATAGTAGATGAAAGACGAATCATTAAATAAATGAATGTTCCAGGGCGCAGGGTGGCCATCCGTGTTCCTGCATGAGAAAAGGGGTGTTATGCTCTTTACTACCCAAGTCCTTTGTACGGCCAGGAATGGGAAGGGTTTCCTCTGTATCTCCCTGTCATTGGCCAAGACTGTCCGCATTCGCCTGATGCAACACTTCAGCGGATGGGCGGAGCTCGCCCTGGGCCAGCCAATCCTACCAGCAACTACAATCTTGCCCTTCTTTGCCTAGATAAGGCTGCACAGTCAGCGAGGTCCTGTGGAAACAGAGACCTGCAGCTGATGTGGGGTGGGGTGGGGCGGGAAGGTGTGGGGGGAAAGGAGAGGGTGGCAGGGAACTGTGACAAATGACAAGAAACAGCAGTTTTAATTAGATTAGAATTTTATTAGGATTTCCAGGGTTCATAGGGAGCGAGGCGCGGCCTATAAAGGGAGGGGTGTAGGAATAGAGCAATAGTAAAGTGGCTTTGCACGGGCTAGCTGGAACGACAAGGAGAGGAAAGGAGATGAAGCAGGAGAAAGAAGCTTGGGAGGACAGAATGGCAGCGAAGCATGCCCCCACCCCCCACCCCGGGCTACCACACAGCTGTGACAAGGCCGGAATGGGCCAACACTGACTAGGAGGAAGAGATATAAGCGATTTGATAAAGGCAACACAATAAATACCTTTAGCAGCACACAGAAGCCTATGGGGGAGGGAGGCTGAAATGAAGGGGGAACCTTCCTTTCCCCCACCCCAAAATAAGAACTCTGCAATTACTAAGCCATAAAAATTAACTTTAAACCCATGTATGACATCAGTCACCCCCAGAAGTGCAATGTGGGGCCGCGCAGCCCTAACTAAGGGAGAAGGCAAATGGAGAGAGGGGAGGAGGATGCAGAGACTCCTCTCATAGAGGGTAAGGCATTCATCTTGTTTTCCCCTACTTCCCCAGGTGGGCCCAAAAGTTTTGGGTCTGAAGCATCTCTCCCATGTTGGAGTCTTCGTCTCCTGCCTCATCATCGCTGTCCTCCCCTTCTTGCTCACTACCTGCACAAGTAGAGAGGAAAGGAGGGGGAAATGGTAGAGGGAGGTTAGAAGGCCAGATCACTCTAGTAGGGAACAGAGCCCACAACCAAGGCTTTTGGAGACCTGGGACCACTTGCCAAGTGCCTCTGTGTGCAACAAGTAGCCAAGAGTGTTTATGAACTCAAGCAAGCCCAGAGTGAAGCAAGTAGGAGAGAAGCAAGAAGGCAGGGTGGGTTCCCCACCTCTGTCAAGATTGGTACATCTCGGAAAGTAGCTTTTCTCCCTTTGTATACCTCCATGTGCTTCTCTTCCTAAGCTGTAACTTCAACTAAATAGACTTCCCTTACTCCTCCTTCCCAGGCTAATCCAAAGAGGCCCCAGCCTGTCTTTTCAATCCAATTTCTTACCCCCACTCCCACTTCAGGAATGGGCAGACAGCTCTGCCTCTACTTCTTAGAAAAAAGAAATGCCACCAAGCGGGAGGTAGAAAAAGACCCACAACCGTTCCCCTATTCTACCTAAAAACAGATTGAGTCATCATCTATTCACTCATTCACAATGCCTCCTTCCTTTGTGCCCCACCCCTGCCCTCAATGGAAGCTTGCCTTGCTAGGGAACCCATGGCCTAAAACCCCCAGGGATGATCAGTCTTCCTGCCCCTTCCACCTTCCTCAGAAGCCTACCTCTCCTTTGTATGCCTAAAGCTAGGCTCAAACATTTGCCTGCCCCATGCTATCCTCTTCCCCTACAGTTTTTACTCCATTACCTTACTCCCTGCTCATCCTCCTCTTCTTTCCATGTTCTGGCTTCATTGATCCCCTGAAACTACTCTCACCAACGTCACAAATGATTTTTATTCCCAAATCTAATGGACATACCCCAGTTCTTATTTTACTTGACCTTTCAGCAACACTGGGCATTGAATGCAAGGTTCAAATGACCTGGTTCTCCTACCTCTACCCAATCATAGCTTCAGTTTCCTCATCTGTAAGATAGGATAATACCTACCTCATTAAGACTTGCTATGAGAATTAAGGAGCTCTGGTGGTGTAGTGCCCAAGGCACATGACTACTAACCAGAAGGCTGCTGGTTCAAACCCACCAGCCACACCTCAGAAAGAAGGTTGGGCAATCTACTTCTGTAGCGATACTGCCTTGGAAACCCAAGAAGGGGTCGCTATGAGTTGGATCCGACTCGATGGCACATAACAACGATGAGGAGAATTAAATGAGTTAAAACAAGAAAAGCACTTAAAATAGTGCCTGGCACATGGTAAGCACTTCATTAATGTTAACTGGACCTATAATTCTTACCAGCCCTTAAATGTTAGTGGCTTTAGGGCTAGGATTCTGACCTGGCTTGTTATCCGCTTCCTTTCCAACTTCCTAATCTCTACTTGATTCCCAGACGTATAATCAACCACCTGCCTCTGAGCCAACTATATCCAGATGTCCAGTAAGCCCTTCCAACTTTCATGTTCCTCCCTCCACCCCACCAATACCACCACTACACCATTCCCCATCCCAGGAAATGTCACCTGCATTTACCAGTCATCCCTGAAACAAACCTGGGAGTCACCTTAAATCTGCATTTTCCCTCAGATCTCCACTGTAATCTTACCTCAGAATTTCACAGTGTGTTCTTTGGTGAGCAGTGAACAATGGCTTCTGTGGTCAAAGAAGTTTGGGAAATGCTAGGTTCCACGACATTAAATAGGTTTCTTACAATAGCACTTCTCAGAACCTTCAAGGTGCACATGTACATATGACTCTATGAGACTATTACTGTGTGCAGTATTTCCCCAGCATATTTGACCACTGAATCCCTTTTTGTGAGAAGCAACTTTCGAACTAGTGAAGGGTCCTACTTGTACTAAGTAACTTTCCAGGTCCTTGCATCTTTGATGCCTCCCCTAGAGAATGCTCTTTAATGCTCCTCAGTATGAATGTAGCTTTCAATTGAAATGTCAACTTCTTTCTCTAGCTCTCCCCTACCCCACTCTTGAGGTAGAACTAGCTGCTTCCTCCTCTGGGTTCAGAGAGTGCATTGTTTACTTCATCTCCACACACTCACCCCCAAACCAACTTGGGATTTTCCAGAAAGCCAGGGTTGGGTACAAAGTGTGTTAAATTGCAATGTGACTGCCACTGTACTTCCTCTGTGTGTGTGTGCATGCATGTACATGCCCATATCTGTCTCTGTGTGAACTGTTCTTTTTAGTTTTCCACCCATTATCTCCTATATCTCCATCCACTCATTTGTCTTTTACTCTGTCACCTGTCTATCAGCTAGAAGTTTCTTTTGTTTTGTTACATTTGTAAGTTAAATGTTCCCTGGCCTTTGATTTAAAAGCTGCACAGACTGCTTTTTCTTTGTTCCACAAGAGCAGATTGTGTTAATGCTTTGATACCCTATTCCCAGAGAGCCTTTCTCTAAGAAAGGAGGGGAAGCAGAGGGATTTAGCTCACCTTCTTCATTGCCCTTGTCATCTTCTTCCTCTGATTCTTCTTCTGAGATGTCCTCTACCTCATCATCCTCATAGTCCTTCTGGTTGCTGCTGTTATCATGATCCTTGTCAGGGTCTTCAATGCCATTCTCATAGCCCTCAATGTCTTCATCATCATCATCACTGCCCTCATTGTCACCTTCATTGCCATCATCACTACTCTCATTGTCACCTTCATTGCCATCATTATCTTCATCATCACTGTCTTCAGTATCTTCTTCATTGTCACTATCACTGCTGCCCTGGATGTTGCTATTGTTGCTCTGGTTGCCACTTTCAAGGTTCTCATCATCACCATCGGGAGTTTTGTTGTTGTTACCATTAGTGTCATCACAGCTGCTCTCATTGTTATCAGTAGTGTCATTGTCACAAAGACTTTCACTGATGTCAGTAGTTGCATCACTGTCTGAGGTCTCGCTGATTATGTCTTTCATTGCTTGATGCTCATCATCAGAGTCTTCCAGGATCATCACCTCGTATTCGTCCTTGGTATTACTGTGGGGGAGCCTGGGGCTGAGTATGGGGTTGGTGTGTGTGGTTTGAACCCAGGGTAAACAATGAAAAGTGGTAACTGGGGAGCCAGTAGGCTACAAGGACTCCCAGGGATGAGGTTGGGGTGAAGTGAGTTCCATTTCTATACCTGACTATGTAACCTCAGGCCAATCATGCCCTATTTCTGGGCATCATTTCCCCACTGTACAAATATTGGACTGGATTATCTCAAAGGTCCCTTTGGGTGACCTCTATAAACCTTGTGTGACACTAGCTTAGTCTTTGCCTGATCCCTTGCAAACCACCTCTCAGCCACCAGTCCCCCATCACCTTTCCTCCTTTTGCTTCTTTCCGTTTGCCCTGTAGCCCCCTTCTCCCATCATGTAGTAGCGTAGAGGATTAACCCACAGGTCATTCTTGATAATCTGTTGAAAGAGAGGGGAGAAGGGAGAACAAAGCCACAAGTATAGGCCTGAGATCTGTACTCCCAATTCCCTAGGTACACAGAGGCAAGCCTAACAAGGCCTTCTCTGCCAATGCCAGGAGGGGCCCTACCTCAGCAATCATGTCAGCCTCTGGGAAGCTGTAGCTTGAGAACCAGTTGAAGAAGCTGCGGCTGATGTTCTGGTTCTTGTGCCTGTGGGTCTGGGGTTCCTGGCCCCGATGCCAGCGGATTGGGGTTGAGTGAGACACCAGTTGGCCTGGGGGGGAGAGACAGCTTTGGAGAGGGGACTGGACAAGGGGATGGATTTGCTCTGGGACCACCTCTTACCTGAGCAGTTATGCTGGAATTCCTTGACAATCACCATGTTTGTGAAGTAGGGATTTGTCTGGAAGTACAACTTCATTTTGTAGCCCATGGAGATATGTCTGAGATCCTGCACCTGCTCAGGGTGGGATTAATAGTAGAATCTGCCTCTGCCACACCACGGCCCCTCCCATCCACCCCCTCACCTCCAAGGACCAGATAACTCGCCCAGTTATACTACCAAATGTCTCTTTGGCCTGACCTGCAGATTGGTCAAGTAGCGAAAAATGTCTTCATCACGTTGGCTGATCAAGATTGAAATTTTGGGGTGGTTGAGGAACTGATGAGGGGAGCAGTTTAGGTCAAGGATTGACTGTTCAATGAGGTAGGGAAGAAGAAAGGGCCAGGCAAGGCAGAAAAGAAGAGAGGCTGGAGCAAGAGGATTCCTCCTGTGTTTATGTGATGTGTATGGAGTAAGTGGGTCATGGGAAATGACCTGTACTTTTCCCCCCATACTATTATGTGGTGAGGGTCTGTCTGCATTTATGCAATGTTAAACGTCTGTTAGGTGGCCTGGCCAGAGTTCATATAATTGCTTTGTGTTTGGGTACTAAGGGGGCTATGCCATGTGATGTTGTATCTCTGGGTGCTGAGAGCTTCTGTTCATAAGACTCATATATGTCTGGGTGTTGATGGTTTGTGTCTACATGATGTTGTGTGTCTGGGTCTGAGGGTTTGTGCCCAAACAATGCTGTGTGTCTGGGTACTGAGGGTCTGAAGTCATATAACGCTGTATATCTATGTGCTGAGGACCTATGGTCACATAATACTGTATCTGGGTGCTGAGATCCTTTATTCATATGCTACTACATGTCTTGGTGTGGAAGGCCTGTGTCTAGATGATGCAGTATATCCAGATGTTAAGGGCCTGTGTTCATGTGAACCTGTCTGGGGACTAGGGAAATATTTTCATATGATGCTTTATGTCTGTGTGCTAGATGTTATATCATGTGTCTTGGTGCTAAGGGCTCATGAACACATGATATGTATCTGCATGTTGGGAGCCTGTGATCATGTGATACTTTGTATCAGGATGTCAAGGGTCTGTATCATTTAATACTCTTCCAGAATACTAAACCCATACATTAACATGTTGCACATATCTGTGTGTGCCCCCTGAAATGAGCTTAGCAAGCACCAACAGTAAATGAGATTCCTCTCATTTTCCCTTTACTTCATTTAGCTCCTTGAGTATCTCTACACCCAGGGTCTCCCTTTCCTGACTGCAGGGGCTCTAGCCTTTCTATCCTCCTTCCATCCAATGTGGGGTGCTCCTGCCAGGACTGGGGTCTCCCTAGTGTCTAAGCAGAGACCTAGGCTTGTAGAACCTTGTGACTTAGGCAGCCTTGCTGGATTTTTCTGTGTCCCTCCCTTTCCTCTTCACTTTCTCTGGGTTAATTCTTCTACTATGTGCCTTTGCTCTCCCTCTACCTCACTCTCTGAGGCAGTTTATCTTCTGTGTACCCCTACTATCCTTCTTTCACTATCCCTGGTCCAATTTTTCTTTGTGCCCCTCCACTACCCTCCCCCTTTCACCCAGTGACCCATTTTTTTTTTAATGCTATGCCTCTTTTCCCATCTGTGGGCCAGTTTTTATGCTGTGATTCCCTCCCCATGTCACTATCTATATTACAGCTTCTTTGCTGTTTTGCCCCCTCCTTCACCAAACCTAGTCATTCTTCTGATGGTGAACCCACCTCCATCTTTGGCCCTCACCCACAATCTCCTTTTGCTGTCTGTTCCTCCCCCAACCCTTCTTTACTGTTGTGGGCTCCCAGTCCCTGAGTATTGACAACAAGGATACTGCTTTGACCCAGAAGCCTGGGATATGCCGGATGATGAGGTCTCTGCGCTCCAGGAAGGGCCTTCGCATCTGGATGAATCTGCGCTTGAGACGGAGGAAGGCCTTGCCTGCCTTTATGTTCACTGCCTCCAGGTCCAGTTGAATATTCTCCAGCGCTTCCATCCTTTCAGCATTCCTCTCTTTGCTTTCCTTCTTCATCTTCATCTTCCTCTGCCTCCTCTTCTCTTCTTCCCTTTCATACTTATCTTCCACTACGATGACAGCGTCTTCCTTCTTCTTTGGACCAGCTAACCTCTGGGACCGCCGCCTCCTTGCTCTACAGGTTTTTCGGGCCTTTTCCCCAGCAAAGCTGCTGGGCCCGGTGACCTGAAAACCGATTTCTAGGCTTCCCCCAGAAGCCGCGGAAGTAGAGAGGGTTTCCAGGCCTCCCGTGGGAGAAGGCGTCCCCCCATACCCTGACTCGATCGCAGGCTCCCAGCCGGGACACCCAGCACCCAGGGTAAAGTAAGCGCGGATCCCCCCCTCCTCCAGAATGACAAAGGGTGGTGGCGGGGGCAGAGCGGGGCCCAGTCTCCCCCCCCTCATGTCAGCCAGCACCTGTGCCGCCTCGGTTTCCTCCCGGAGCCTCGGTCGCTGCTGAGGAGGAGGCAGCGGCAGCTGCAGGAGCTGCGGCGGCGGCGGCAGGTCGTGCTGAGGGAGCTCAGGGCTGCTGAGGCGGCGGTTCTTGGCCGGAGGCTCCTCATTCAGGAGGTTCATGGTGACTGGCGATCACACAGCTCAGGGGGCCGCCCTCACCCCTTTGCTTCCCACCCACAAGCCACTGCCAGTTACACCTGAAGTGAAGCTGCCGCACCACACACAACCACGTCCTCACCGCCTAGCTCTGGCGTTCCCTCCCACAGCGCCTGCTCTACTACCTCCGCGCCAATCGCCAATATCCCGCCCCTTCCCTGGCGCCAGGGGCCCGTTCTGCTTTGCCATTGGGTGGTAGCCTCTTGCGCCGGCCCACTCTCAAGCAATCTGCTTGCCAACAGTACACGTCATCACGTTCCGACTGGCGTCTATGGTACTCGCCAATCATCGGGCTGAATCTTCAAGCGACGAGAAGGAAAGGCAAGGCGATTGGCTAGGAGGAAAGCCTAGGGGAAGCAGCCCTTCTCCTTTTGCTCTCCCAAGATTCGAACTAATGGGAAAAGTACCAGTGGTTCAGACGACCAAACGACAAAACAGAATATAACAGAACAACAAACAAACACAGGCACTGAGCAGGATGTGCGCGAATAAAATTAAGAGAGCTTCATTATCGTTTCTCCTTTTCCTATCAGCGACTACGCACTTGGTAAATCTCTCCTTCCGCCATCCTCTGCTTTAGGGCCTGGAGCGGACTCTGATGTGGCCGGTAAGGGCTCAGGTTGCCCTAAATGAACCTGGGAGCCTGAGGGGTAGAAAACCAGGGCCTTTGGTTTGGGGTTAGCGTTTTCCACCGTTGCAAAAATGGCTCTAGAAGTAATCGCAAAAGTAACTTGCTGTGCGTCATTAAAATATGATTCAGCTCATCTGCTAGATTTTTCTAAGACTTTCTGTCTCTTCATCTACTAAATAGCCCTCCTCTTCATCCTTTATTCTCCCTTTCCCTAATGTTTGCTGTTTTTAATTGTATTTTAGATCTTTTTTTTTTTTTGATCAGGGACAGATGCTCTCTTGTGAGGTATGGTGGTGGAGCTCTGGCTTTGGTCTGGGATTCACACCAAGGCTCTGTCTCTCATTTTGTAACTCCAACTGAAATACTGCCAATCTCTGAGCCTCAGTTTCTTATCCTCTAAATTAGGTGTCCCTAAAAAGATGTGTAAGAGACTTCCCATTGCAGCCTTGTAGTAGCAGAGAATTGGAGGGATCCATCATCAAGGGAATGGATAAGAAAAATGTGATATATGTATAAGATGGACCACTAGAATGGATTAGATCTACATAGGGCAACAAGGTTGGATCTCTCAAAAACAGAATGTTGAGTGAAGAAAGAAACAGAACAAGATTTATAGTACAATACTGTTTATGTAAATTAAAACACAACAATACCATATACTTTTCACAGATACACATATATGTAAATAAACACATAAACGGTGGATTGGAAGGACATATGTTAAATACACGAGAGTGGGTGCCTATGTGGGGGAGAAGAATTGGATCAGGGATGGGTGATGAAAGGGAAATAAAATAAAGAATAAAAGGGCCTCACATGGTCCAATGATGATACAGTGTGCCAAGAACTGAGTATGGTCAACTCAATTCTGTGCACCTGAGAGAATAATAAACAAATAGTAAATTAATTGAGTGCCCAGGGAGCAGGCTGGCTGGGTAGACTCCCAGACTTGTTTTTTTTGTTGTTTTCCCTGTGACATCCCTCCCTCTGAATTTAGTCAAAGCTTACCAAAGTCCCAGCTGTATACAGTGGACCTGTAGGAAGGGCTCCCATCTTAGACTTTGAAACCCCTCCAGAAGCCAATCATTTATGGGGAGGGGAGATTTCCTACCCCTTTCAGTTCACCCGAGATTTATCTCAAATTCCCAGTCCCTTTTCCATGGTGGTCCAGTTTCAGGAACACCTTAAGTTTGGGGTAGGACACTGAGACAGGGATTGAGGGTGGTACCTGAGGGCTTCATACTTGGGGTTGAGATAAGGTTTTCAAGTATCCTGGCTCCCACGCTTAGAGCCTGGGTCAAGGGAGGAAGATGAACATTTACCTTTGTGGTAAACACACACACACACACACATGCACACACACACGCACACACAGGTACAGGTTTCAAGTTCCATCTCTCCAACTACTCTACTTGCTGTGACAGACACATAGTACAGTTTGCCTCCTCTCACCTAGGTGCTTATCTGTGTGTGTGTGTATGTGTGCACATACATGCAAGCATGGGCGTGTGCATGCTTGTATATATCTCTACATACAGGCATTTGCTCACGTGTGCACCAAGCAAGTTTCCTCATGGATGCTTTGCCACACAAAGTCATACAGACACAAACTGTCTCACTCAAGCATACTTCCTCACATATGGTCACACAGACAGGACACACAGACACACATACTCACAGCCAGAAAGAGAAAACATCCAATATCACATTGTTTGTTTCAATTTTTCCATTTACAAAATCCAATGGTGTATCCAGGCAGTTAGAAAAAAGAAATGGAGGAAAATCCTCCTGAATATATCCTAACCACCCCTCACCCTCTTGCCCCCCACACCACTCCCTGGAAAAGGCACCCCCATCACTATCACTGAGAGAACAGGCATACCCCACTCCCAGCCACTCTGGCCTGCCTTTCCAGGGCCACTCTACAGCCAGGCTCATTAATCTCTCTGCTGTCTAGAGTGCCTCCCCACTCTTTTTAGGTCAAGGGTTCTCCAGTTCTGAGGCTGTCTTGGGGTAGAGAGGGAACTTCAGACAGGGACTTCTATAGGTAAGGGAAAGGAGGGACGGATAAATACAGATCCCTCCCCCAGGAATTAGAGGGAGACAAAGATCCTGGGCAAAACCAGGCAAAGGGGTGACAGCTTGTCTCCCACATCCACTGATTTTGAAGTGAGCCCAGAGTGGACTATGCCCCTGGTCTGGGAAGGAAGCTTGGGATCTCCCACCTGGGTAAGCTGGCTTTAGTCTGTTCCATTTTGGGTATAGGTAAGGGTGGAGGGAGGAATGGGGAGAAGAGCTTTTGGGAGGAAGGAAGTTTAGGGCTGAGGACCCAGACGATCAAGGACTAAGGAGGGGCTTGAGGCCCCTGAAGCTTGAGGGGGGACAAAAAGAGGTTGGAGAGGAGTGGACACAAGTCCACAGTGCCTTGGGGTTTATATCTCTAGGAGTTACCAAGGCCCACAATGAATTTTCATCTTCAGAAGAGTAGCACGAACCCAGGAAGCAATTCTGGAATTGAATTCCTCTCTGACCCCAGGCTTTGGGATCCAGCTACTCTGGGAGTCAAACTCTCTCCCTACACTTCCCTGTGGGTTGCCCCCTGCCTGTATGCACCCACATTAGCATTAATATGGCTAGAGTGGATTTCCATCCTCAGAAAGAAGAGTTGGAGGTTGGGGATCCAGGAGGCAGCTTGAGGGAATGCAGTCAGCTCAAGGAGTTTAGCTCCTATCCTGCTCTTCACCTAGCCTGGGCCCATCCCTGAGAACACTTCTCCATCCCCTCCTGGCTTCTCAAACAGATGCTCAAGAATCACGTGGGAGGTCTTGACGTGGTGAGGAGGGAGAAGAGACTAGGATTGGGATCAGGGTTAGCCTAAAACAACATTGCACACAACATAGCAATTAAACACCCCTGCTTCCTGGGACCCACCACCCTTTTTGATCCCTTTTCTCATAAGCGTTGGATCAATTTCTCCTTAAAGCATCCAGGTCTTGCTAAAGGACTTGGAAAGGGGGTGCATGGGAGCAGAGGGAAGTCTATTTTACAGGACAAATTTTCCCCCTCTGGACAATGTAAGAAGAGGGACATTAGAGCAAGGAAGCCTGTCTTCTCAGCTGTTAGAAAAACCTGCATTTTCTATTTTGTTTTCTTTTTCTTAATTGTCACTTGAGAGAAAGAGAAAGAAAGAGAGAGAAGAAGTGAAGAAGGAGGCAGCAGAGACAGACCCCACAAAACTAGAAACACCTCTTTCCCAGCACCGCCCCCCCACCCCCAACCCTGGGGAGGTGTTGACAAAGGTGCCTAAATTATGAGGAGTTGGGGCTAGAGCTCAGAAAGCAAGGCTCCTATATGGGGCCTTAGCCCTCCCTTGCTGTTAATTATGATGGCCATGACCTCTCTGCTTGCCTACCAGCCTGCTTCACATGACACAGTAGGGTTCTCTGGGAGCCGGGGCACCTCCTGTGCCCCAGCAGGGGGCATGAGTCCTCAGGCACTTCTTGAGGTCCTTGTTGAGCAGGAAGCAGACGATTGGGTTGACAGCAGCCTGGGCGAAGCTCATCCAAACAGCAGTGGCCAGGTAGCGGTGGGGCACGGCGCAGGCTTTCACAAACACTCGCCAGTAGCAGGCCACAATGTAGGGTGACCAGAGGAGCAGGAAGAGCAGTGTGATCGCGTAGAACATGCGGCCCAGCTGCTTTTCACCTTTGACCTCGTCCATGCCCAGCAGCCGTCGGCTGGCTGCATGCCCATTCTGCCGGATACCCAGCAGGGTTGGCGGCATGGGCCCACGGCCAAAGCCGGCGATCCAGTTGGCAGCAGCCTGGCCAGTGGCCCCAGGGCCATGGAATGTCCAGTTCTGGCTGATGGCTGGTACCATCTGCACTGGCTTCATCTTTCGATGACGATACTCAAAGAGGAGCAGCTTGCCATAGACAGCATGTGTGGCTGCCATGAGCACAGCCAACATAAGCATGAAGCCCAGTGTGTCATTGGCCTTGAAGTAGCGATGCTCAAAGATGCACTGGTCCTCCTCACGGATAAACTTGTAGGTGCCCACATCGAAGACGGGTGGGAAAGCCATGGCCACAGACAGGGTCCAGGCCATGCAGATGACAGCTGCACATGTCCAGAGTGTCATGCGCTTGGCATAGAAGCGGTGGTGGGCGATGGCCATGTAGCGGGTGACGCTGATGCAGAAGAGCATGAAGGCCGCATGGAAGCAAAAGAGCACGGCCATAAAAGCCACAATCTTGCAGCTGAGTGCACTGAAGGTCCATGAGGAGCCGTGGCGCACAGAAGCCAGCACAAAGGGGAAGCAGACGGCAGAGCGTATGCCATCGGCCAGGCACAGGTCCAGCAGAAAGTAGTAAGGAGCCTTGTGCAGGGCACGCTCCTTGAGCACTAGCAGGGACAAGATGGCATTGCCTGCCAGGCTCACACACATGATCAATCCCAGAAGCACCAGCTTCACATAAGCTGATGCTGACGGTGGGGATAGTGCGCCGCTCACCTCCTCGGGCTCTCCAGTAGTGTTGGCCATACTGAGGGGCAGGGACTGCTTTCAACCCTATGGGGTCAGCCAATCTGGTACTCCATGGGCCCTGTGTGACTCCATCAGCTGACCTGCTGGGCTGCACCTGCAAGTAGGGAAATTGGAGGTGACACAGACACAGAGAAACAAAGAGATGAGGGCAAGAAAGAGACACAGAGAGAAAAATACAGAGAGACAGAGAAACAGTGGGAAATAAAGAGAACAAAAAGAAAAATGGCAACAAAGATATAAATAGTTGGAAATTGAGACAGAAATGGAGGGTATGTGAATGAGTGAGGAGGGATAAAAGGAGAAAGAGAGAGAGACAGAGAGAGAGAGACAGCAAGAGCAAGAGAGACAAGAGCAAGTAGGAAACAGGAAGGAAAAGTGAGGGAGAAACAGAAAAGGCAGTATTAGTGTGTCTGTGTGCTCCCCCACCACCACCCCTTACTCCTCAGCTAGTGTCAAGCCCTGCTTCTGGCCCACTCCTAGTCCTACGCTCTCTTTGCTGGGTGAGGGTGCTCCATCTCTGTGGATGTCCTCAGTTACCTGTCCTTCCACTGGTGGGTCTGTGAGGTGGTGATGTTCTTGTAGCTCTTCTTCCCCTTTACAAAGCCCTAATTTGTTCTTCAAACTTTTCTGAATCTCACCCATAGTAAGAAAGGGAGCTCTGGTGGCACAGTGGACAAGACATCCAGCTGCTAACACATACACGTACGCACCTGAACCAAAAGTTTCACAAAACAGTACCGACCCTAATTGTAATGCACCCCATTTGTTTCTATTGTATTTCACTTTTTAAAGTGCTCATAGCCATTGGTTAAATGAATTTGTTCACTTATGATCAGGAATGTGCTTAACATACTCGAGGGACATCTGTAAGGCATGTGACTGGCATGGAATGAGGTAGGGAGACAGTGGTGGGAGGTGAGATCAGAGAGGTGCCTGGGGGTTAGATCATGTAGGTCCCTATGGGCCATGATAAGCACTTTGGTTTTTACTTTAAGTGTGAATATAAAGATGTAAATATTCTTGTGTGTACTCATTTATTAATTAAAAATTTATTCATTGAGAATCTACTGTGTGCCGGGAACTGTTCTAGGCACTGGGGATACAGCTATGAATCAGACAAACAAAAATCCCTGTCCCTTTAATCTATGGATGGGGACATAGGTAGACAGGCAAGATAATCAGGTATGGGAGGATGACCATATATAGGTATGGCAGATAATATTTCTACATTTGTATTTGTATGTGCTATAAAAATGTCCATATATATAACAGCACCAACATGGGGCAAAGTTATGATAACTTCTTAGCCAAAACCAAACACCTTGAGGGAGTGGGCCTGAAGGCTCAGGACCATGGTCACAGAGGAAATCAAGCTTAACATAGTACACAAAAACATTGTTCTACATCCTACTTTGATGAAGAGCAACTGGGATTTTAAAAACTTGTGAGTGGTCATCTAAGATGCAACTATCAGTCATCTGGAGCAAAGAAGAGTGAAGAAAATCAAAGACTTAGGGAAACAATTTGTACAAGGGACTAGTGGACCATAAGAAAATCAACCTACATGACTATGAGACCAGAATCTCTGCCAACCATTTGGAAAGGGATCAAAATAGGAGATCCTAGATAGACTGGGAGAAAAATGTAGAACTTAAATGATAGGAAAACCAGGCTTGCTGGTCTGATATAGACTGGTGAAACCCCCGAGACTATGGCTTCTAGTTACCCTTCAGGTCTGGAATTGAACTCACTCCAGTGGCTTCACTTTCAGCCAAGCACCCAGACAGGCCAAGGAGCTGAGCAATTACACCAGGGAGGTGCACTCCTTAGAAGAATAAACCATGGGAGATCAGAAGAGAGCATTTGTGCAGGGAGAAAGCTCAGAAGGCAGGAATGCATAGGAAAGAAGTATACAGGGAGGAAGTGGGAAAAGAGCTGTTATACTGTGGGAACTGCAATCAATGTCATAAAACAAAAAGTGTATGAACTGTTAAATGGATAAAAAAATTTCTCTGTAAACTTTTGCCCAAATCACAATATAACATTAAAAAAAAAAACAAAAACCTCTGGCTTTGTAGAGCTTATATTCTAGATAATAAAGAACATATATAAATAAAGTATGTCGGAGAATGGTAAGTCCCTAAGAATAAGAATAAAGCCGGGAGGGGAGATAGGAAATGCTAGGGGTGGAAGATGTGCTGCAAGTTTAGATGGGGTGTATAGGGAAGACTTCATGGAGGAGGTGTCATCTGAACAAAGAGCTGAAGGAAGGGAAGGAGTGAGCCATGTGCATATCTCAGGGAAGAGAAGTCCAGGCAGAAGGAATTGCCAGAGCAAAAGCCCTGAGTTGAGACCACACCTGGCGCACTTGAGGAACAGCCAGGAGGCCAGTGTGGGTGGAACAGAATGAGTGAGGGGGAAAGTGGTGGAAGGTAAGGTCAGAAAGGTGATGAGGCCAGATCACAGAAGCCACAGTGAAGATTTTGACTTTCACAGAGTTTGAGCAGAGGAGAGATGTGATCTGACTTAGATTTAACTATGAGGAGAACAGACCATGTGGGGCAAAAGTAGAAGTAGGGAGACTACTTAGGAGGCTACTGCAGTAATCCAAGTGAGAGATAATAGAACACTTATGTCCCTTTCTCTGTTTTACTTTTCTTCATAAAATTTTTCCCTTCTAACACACCATATAGGAGCTCTGGTGGCACAGTGCTTAAAGCATTTGACTGCTAACCAGAAGGTGTATGGTTCAAATCCACCAGCCACTCCTCAGAAGGAAGGTTGGGCAATCTACTTCCACAGTGATACTGCCTCAGAAACCCAAGAGGTGGTCATGATGAGTCGGATCCAACTCGATGGTAGTGAGTTTTAGTTTTTTTTTTTTTTTTTAACACACCATATAATTTACTTTTAAAAATTTGGTTTATTGGCTGCCTCACCTGATTAGAATGAAAGCACCACAAAGGCAGGGATTATAAACTTACTCAGTCAGTCTCATCTAGAAGGGTGATGCATAGCATATGGTAGGCTTTCAGTAAAAATATGTCACATTAATTGACTATGGAACCATATGAACTAGTGGGTCAGAGGGGGCTTTCTGGAGGCATCTGGGTAGGATTGAAAAAGAGGCCTGGAGGGCATCCGGCAGTAGATGTGGCATAGGTAAGGTTTAAGGGGAAATAGGAGTGCTCCTGCTGTGTGTGGCCTGTGTGTGGCAACTGTCAGGGAGTGTGGGGGTGTGATAGAGTAACATGGCAGGTGCCAGAGGGAAGGCAGCAAGGCAACTTGGGCAGAAGTTGGAGAAGATCAGAATTACCGTTTGGGCTGTGGATTGGCTAGAGTTTGGGAGAGTTAGGGCTTAAGTAATTGTCTTCTTACCCCCTTCCCACCAGGGAAGAAGTATTCTCTCTGCACTGATTTCCAGCTCAAACCAACCTGGTCTACCACAGCCACCTGGGACCAGCCTCTTTGGATGGTACCCCAAAGTCTCAGAGTCTGTGCCAGCAGACCACGATAGGGTGTTATGGCAGGAGCTGGGGAGAAGTGTGATTGGTGGGCCCATTTTCAATCTCTCAAAGCCTGCCCTGATAGCCCCTACAGAACTGTGTGTGTAAATGTGCACATACACATACACACTCCTTAGCCTTGAGAGGAGGCAGAGGGGAAAGTGATAGAGACAGGGAGAGGCTGAATGTATGAGAGTCAGGAAGACGCTCGTGTGTGTGTGTGTGTGTGAAACAGAGAAAGAGAGTCATAGGAGAGAGAAAGAGAACAAGGGAGAGAAACAAACAGAAATGAGAGAAAGTCTTATACACAGAGAGGAAGGAGACAGAAATAGACACAGAAAGGGAAAGGATAGAGAGAGTGAAGTAAAAAGAGGGGCACATATATATTTAGAAGCAGAGAGAGCAAGACAGAGAGGTAAGGAGATAGAGAAAAATAGACAAAAAGAAATTAAAAAAAAAATAAATAAACCCCAAAACCCAGAGAGGAACAGAGAAAGGTAGGGAGAGAAAGGCAGGGAGATAGAGGGAAAGGGATGATGTGTGGAAGGAAAAAGAACAAAAGACATAGCAAAATAGAGTGGGATGGGGAAGGACAAACAGATGTAGAGAGGAGTTCAAAAGAGACACACACAGAAATAAAAATGGAGATAGGGAGATACAGAGACACACTAAGACCGAAAAGGTGGATAAGGTGAAGCCAAAGTTTCAGTGAAATAGAAAACTAAAAAAAAGAAATAGAAACAAGCAGCAAACAAACAAAACCCTGCTGTTGCCAGGAAAGCTGGGGAGATTCCTAAATAAGTGAGGAGAGGACAGACTGGCAATGACAGCCTGGGGGCTAAGGGAACATGGGCACGCACGTAACACATTCAAATCTGCTTGTGCCCAGTAGGTTTCGTACACAGATGCTTAAACCAAGAAACAAAAAACAGCTGCCATGGAGTTGATTCCAACTCATAGTTACCCTATAGGACAGAGTAGAACTGCCCCATAGGGATTCCAAGGCTGTAATCTTTATCGAAGCAGACTGCCATGGCTTTCTAAGGAGCAGTTGGTTTGTTCCAACCTTTTGGTTAGCAGCTGAGTGCTTAACCACACTGCACCACCAGGGCTTCTTACAGAAATACCTACATACTCATAGACTCACACAAACACATATCCTACTGCTATGGAGGGTTACAGACAGCAACCAGCTCACACACAGGGACACTGGCATGCATATGCACATGCACATTCTTTCTGGAAGCACTAGCCTTCTCTTTTCTCTCTGGAAATGAATTTGTTAGATACTATAAACTATTTGCACATGTATTTTCAAAAGAAAATCCATATAGTGCCTTAACCATAATGTAGGTAAGAAATAAAATGAAAGTGATTTATGAGAAAATAATTTGTATTCTAACATGTAAATATCTGGACATGACAATCCACAGGAGATTCAATGAGAATATTAGAGCCTTTTAACAATATCTATATATATAATTCAGGGAGCTCTGGTAGCATAGTGCCTAAGGCACTTGACTGCTAACCAGAAGGCTGGCGGTTCAAACCCACCAGCCACTCCTGGGAAGGAAGGTTGGGCAATCCT